ATATAGTCTTAGCAAAATTTCATTGCAAAATTCAGACTATATTTTGAGGTGACAGAAAAAAATGACCTTCACAGTAAACAAATGTGTATGACAGGTGACAACTGCTTATAATGAATGGGGGGGAAAAAACTGCACACATTAGAGTCAGACATCTGTTGGTTTTAATGAGAGAATTATATATACCACTTGAGTTTCTCTGAGAGGTAAGGCTTTATTGCTATATTGTTTAGCTCTTAAACGCATTAGCCTAATAGATAGGTATGCACCATCCTGTTAACATCTTTCAGTGATAGATAGTGATTCTACCACTGGAAATTAAATGAGGTCACTGGTCACATTAGTGGCTGCAAGGTCACCTCTGACTAAGAATAGCCCAATTGTGTAATAGATAGACTCTTATAAATAGAGCCTAAAATGCATGGGTCTGCAGTGGAATGTACTACATGCTTCTGTGGGTTGAGAGATTTAGTGTTACATCAATAACAGAGGGAAAGAGAAAGGAAATCATGCAATCATTGCATCATCTGTGAAACACTGCCTACTGCATCACAATGATCATATCATATGTGCTATAGAACAGTGATTCTTAAACTACATTTATATAGGAGCCACAGTACATCACCATAAGGGCCACTCAAATAATATAATAAAATCAGCTAAAGTTGGAATACACACCTCAACTCCACCCACAACCATCTTGCATACAGAGATGCTAAACATGGAGGATTAAAGAAAGAGTTGGAGGTGGAGTATGAAGTTAAAGTTATTTTTGTCAGTCATGCGTGATGTCACATTGTACTTGAAATTGCAGGGACCGTAGATGGCAGCACGCACACAAAGCTGCAAATGTTCCTAAAATTCCCCCAAATTAATAGGAACAAATAAAGAACAAAAAAATACTTTCACTTTAATTTGTGCATTTGCCCCAGGTTATTGTGTGCTGAACAAGTTAGGCCCTGAGGTCAAAAAGGTTAAGATCCCTTAAAACACAGAAACTCAAAAAAAAAAAAAAAATCTCACTGTTGGTTGGCTCAAAAGATATTCCTTTAGTTTTAAATAGCAGGCACTGTCATTATCACATGTCCAAGGTCTAAACATAAAATGGTGCGGAAAAAAGATGTAATTTTAATGTATTTTATAGTGACCTATAGTTTTTGCCTCGATCCAGTTATGTGACCTGAGAATCTTGAGGACACAGCAGTGATCACATTAAGCAGACCTATATCCCTCTAACTTAAGTGAATTTATTCTCTATACTCAACCATAATAACTCTCATTTGAAACTTATCTTCAGCGCTACCTAGCAACAGTCGACCTGCATTCAAACGGCCATGATGAAGGTATGCCATTCTTTGAAGCTGGCATTTAAAATAACTCCTGTATGTGCAAGACTATAGTCAAAGAAGAATATGTTCTTGTATCGTGTAACTGTCTTACAAAACAGAATGTGCACTATGTACTAACTGTAATCTTATACGAGCCACATTTGAATTCATGATCTAAATCAATAGTACTTAAAGAGATTAGTGTCTTTTCAGTTATCCCCTGCTGCGCGGAAAGAGAGAAGGCACACAATACATCCTCTGAAGCCATTGATTAAAGAAAAAATACAAAAAATCAAAATGCATAGTTGACTTGAGCTCAGTGCAGCGTTAAACAAAAGGTCAGAGGGAACGTGTCCTCGTCTTTCTTTACAGAAAAACACATGTGTACAGAGTGACCGTGGCCATTGCAGACAACAGCAGGGTTAATTCTACTCATTGTATCATTGTCACTTTCATTCACACTGCTCCAGGCAAGGGCAATCACCAGCTCAAATGCAGAATCCAGATTATAAACAGGGGTTCTTTTGGGTTCTTAGTGTCTATTCAGATACTTAAAGCTTTATCTCTCTTTAAGGGTGTATTCATAGAACTTGCAGCATAAATCTAATAAACATGGTCTACGTATTAACCAGGATTTAAGCAATGATGGACATTTAAAGTTTAAAAAAAAAATTCACTTGAGTAATTTTTTTAAGAAATTGTCAAGTTCTCTCTTCTTACTGTGAGAAATGTAGAGTGACAAAAGCTTTCAATTGGCAATATTAAAGTATATATATATATATATATATATATATATATATATATATATAGCTGATCACTCAGATAAGATAATCAGATAGTGATCAGATATTATCTTACATCCAAGCTCCTTGAGTACATCAAGGACAAGGCCCCGGCAGATGAGGTGCTCAGAGAATGTCTCAGACAGTGGGGTCCAGAGGAAGAGGTGCTGGAGGGACCATCATGGCAGGACAAACCCCTACATGGGGCGTACCACCGGAACATAACTGAAGTGGCTGATATCAAGAAATCCTACCAATGGCTTGAGAGGGCTGGTCTGAAGGACAGCACAGAGGCACTGATCCTGGCTGCTCAGGAGCAGGCCCTGGGCACTCGAGCAATAGAGGCCCAGATCTACCACACCAGACAAGACCCACGGTGTAGACTGTGCAAAGAGGCTCCTGAGACAGTCCAGCACATAACTGCAGGGTGTAAGATGCTGGCAGGGAAAGCATACATGGAGCGACATAACCAAGTGGCGGGCATAGTGTACAGAAACATCTGTGCAGAGTTACGGGCTGGAAACCCCAGGATCAAGGTGGGAAACACCTCCAAAGGTTGTGGAGAATGACCGAGCCAAGATCCTGTGGGACTTCCAGATACAGACTGACAGAATGGCGATGGCGAACCAACCAGACATAGTGGTGGTGGATAAGAAACAGAGCAGAGCCGTGGTGGTTGACATCGCAATACCAAGCGATGGTAATATCAGGAAAAAGGAACACGAGAAGCTAGAGAAATACCAGGGGCTCAAGGAAGAGCTGGAGAGAGCCTGGAAAGTAAAGGCATCAGTGGTGCCTGTGGTGATCGGAGCACTCGGGGCTGTAACCCCCAAACTGGAAGAGTGGCTTACAACAGATACCGGGAAAAACAACGGACATCTCAGTCCAGAAAAGTGCAGTACTGGGAACAGCAAAGATACTGCGCAGAACTCTCAAGCTCCCAGGCCTCTGGTAGAGGACCCGAGCTCAATGAGGGTGAGAGAGACCTACCACCGTGGAAGGTGAGAAACACATTTATATATATATATATATATATATATATATATATATATATATATATATATATATATATATATATATATATATATATATATAGTTAGTTAGTTAGCATTTTTTCCTATTTTTTCAGAATCTACATTATTTTAGGTTTTGGTTGTCTATTTATATCAACTCACAAAGCTCAGATCTTAAATACACGTCTTGGTCCCACCTCGGGGTCGTTTTGCAAGTCTCAAATAACTCTCAAGTCTACAACCATCCTACAACCATCGATATTTGTTTTTACCAATCATGACTTGGTATGTATTAAAGGCAGAGGTGGGACCAAGTTGTTGTTTTGCAAGTCTCAAATAAGTGTCAAGTCTTTGAGCTCAAGTCCGAGTCAAGTCCCAAGTCAAATATAGGCAAGTCCAAGTCAAGTCTCAAATCACTGGCCAATAAGTCCAAGTCAAGTCTGCTTTGAGCTTCAAGTCATTTCAAGTCTTTAAACCAAAGTACCAAATATAGCTTTGATTTTTGCAAGTTACATGAATTTCAAACTAAATTGTAATTAAAAAGTCATAGTAGATTTATATTGAAGTATTCATAGCATATGGAAGAGTTGTAGAAATGTAAATTTAACTTAACAAGATCTTAGAATGAATCATTACAGTCAGAATAGAAACAATTCAGATTTAAAAGTGCTTCTCAAGTTTTCTCAAGGCAAACAGGCCTCAAGTCCAAGTCAAGTCCTAAGTCATTGACTTTCAAGTCCAAGTTGAGTCCCAAGTCTTAGTCCATTTTATCAAGTAAAATCTCAGGTCCTAAAAATAGTGACTCAAGTCTGACTTGAGTCCAAGTCACGACTTGCAAGTCCCCACCTCTGATACAAACCATTACTCAGTACTCAAGTGGTAGTTTCTCAAATACTTTTACTCTTGCCCTTACTTGAGCAATTATTTACGTGAATACTTTGTAATTGTACGCATAAATAATATTATAGTGCAGATTGTGGCTACTCTATTCAGCTTTATGTACAAGAAGCATTTTATAAAAAAACATTGCTCCAACTATCATCGATGCTGTTTTGTGAGATAGACACACAAACATGGTGGATCACTGTTACTTTGATATGTGTAGTACACACTGAACAATAAATAGTATCTAAATAAGAAGCTGTTTGAAATTATGGCTATAACCACACAAATTATTCAGACTTCTTTATCTGGGTGCAATAATAACAATTGTGTTGACACATTTAGTTGTAAGTTGACTTTAGAAGAACTTTTAAATACTCGGTAAGAAGTAAAAAGTAATCTATTTTTTTTTTGCTATTTTTATGTTGAGCACTTCCTTAGAAAAACACATAGGCAGCACATTCACATCTGGCGTCAGACTCTGAAGAAGAAAAGAGCGGCAAAATGCTTCTGCCGACAAGTGGAAATTGCAAATGGCCGTGCGCTCAGGTAAAAGGCTGTGACTGAGTTCCTCGCCGTGTTTACTCCTGGAAAATTGGGGAATAACAGGCTGTCATAGGGTGACACATCAGCCTTTGTTAAAGATTACTTTGCTCTTGGCGGCGCTCTCTGATGTTCGGCCTCCCGGACAAATTGTTCATTTGGCGACTGCCGACTAAATAGAAGCGCGACTTCGGCATGTTGCTATTCCCCGGTACAGAGAAGCGGGCCAGATAGGAATCCAATTATCCAAGTCCCATAATAGACGTCTCATTTAAGATGTGTGGCAGTAATAGCAGCACCACAATTTTCCCCCAAAGCCACTCTCTATCAACGGCATCATCTTGTGTTCAACGCTAACTCATCTCTAGCCGTACACAAGCTGTCAACCACCACAGATCATAATAAATCCTTTGAAAGCCCCAGGAAAAGGCGAACGTCAAAGAATATTTACTCACATGTAGCGCAGGTGTGGGTTCTGAGCGAAGGCGCGGGGCTGGATCACCTTCAAGTTGCAGTTCATGATAGTTCTGAAAAGGAGATACAAGAAGAACAAAAGGTTAATCCAGGACATGTTTATATACAAAAAACTGTCCTCTTTTCAACTTAAAGCGGCTTAATTCCATTAGCCCTTTCATTTGATCTGGCTGTGATCTCATAATAAGGGAACAATGTAACGCTTCAGTGCCGCTGCATTTCAAGGAGCAGATGGAGCAACTTCTTTTTATCTTTTTTGTCGGTTGGAGTCAGAATCATTCTCTATTCAAATGACTCTCCTTTTAACTCTGTGTGTACTGCCTGCAGCGGGAGCCAAAATAGACATTCACTTTGAAGCACCATTTGGTAAGATTTGTGAACTTTACTGAAAAGACAGCATTGGCCCTCTTTGTGTTAACATCTATAGAGTGAAATAAGTGTGAAATTAAACATGCAGTGGTATCCCAAGGGCCGCTGTGAAAAAAGATAGTCCTGGTATTCCCTATCTGCCCAGTCTGGGGAAGCATTGAGTGTTCCAGGATATAATGCTAATGACTTCCAATTTTGTAATCACAGATGCCGCTCTCCAAAGAAACCATTGACATCATCAGTGTGCGCCTCGTAAAACAGTGTGCTGATTACACATAGCTCTATGTGCCAATTACCTCCTGAAGTACAAACACCCATTCACAGTGTTTGACTAGAAAATGATCATTGTCACGAAAGTCTTGCGATTTGAAGGATTTCAGGTGTATAGTCATTTGACGGTATTAAAACACATTCAAATGAATAATATAGGAACACATTTAAGAATTTTCAGCTATTTGATTACGTGCAATAATTTCTCCAGTCTTTACAATTTGAAGCAACATTTTATAAACAAAAATTGTACTAAGCAGTAGGGCTGGGCGATATGGATCAAAAAATATATCTCGATATATTTTGCTATATCTCGATATACGATATATATCTCGATATCTGTACAGGAAAAAATAACCCCCTAAAACGGAAAACTGCAAAATATGCCAAATTCCACAAGGTCCTTTTTTTTTTTAATTAAAGTGTAAGAGGTCGGCAGTTCATATAGGAACATTTAAGATTACAAAAACCCCTAATTACATAAATAATATAAACTGTTAAATAAAAGAAATAAAACATATTTCCTTTGTTTCATTCGTAAATAAAACAACTCAACACAAGTTCATCTTTGCATTAACTCTGTTATCCAAACCATAATCATGACCATGAGCTCATTTAGCAGAAGAAGCTCAGAATGTTCCTTATTTTAACAGATCCATGTTCCAGCAGTAAGGAGCTCTGAGGTTTCCCACAATCCACTGCAGATCAAACCCAACGTTTCCAAACACTTTTGTACAAGTTACACTGCAACAGATTATTCATTAAAATCTTCTGCATAAATAGAATTTACATTACTAAACTTTACAATATATATAGCATAACAACTCAAGAGCCACATCAGCCCGTTTGAGATTATAGTGTTAATTTTTATTTTTATTTTTTTGCAGCTTTGCGCAGACTTGTTTACGTTTTACAGAAACGAAACTTAAAAAGCGCATGGCTAATTTGCATAAACAGCGCACTCCACGTGCTGCTCATGGGATTCAACTTCTTTTGGACTAAAGGACACGAGGTGGAATATGAGGATGTGCTGCTGATGCTCTTGTCTGTAAATGGTGGAAAAGGTTCGTGGTGCTTGAAGCTTTTCACTGGCACCAACTTTCGGCGTTCACGGCGATAGTGACGAGTGAAGGAGACACGAGCGAACAAAATCAGGGAGGCGGGGGCGCGCGGGCGGCCACAGAGAAGACAAACAAGCGAAGCGACGAAATCAAAATTGAATATAACCATTATATCGATATATACGATATGTCAGAATTCATATCGAGTTTTTTAAAAATCTTGATATATTTAAAATCTCGAGATATCGCCCACCCCTACTAAGCAGTTATGTTTACTTTTAGACAATACTTAAAGGTGTACTGTGTAACTTTTTTGGTGGAGAGTCTAACACGTGTTTGTCTCTATGGAGATCATACAGTTTTGCCTTGATTATTCCACATTATGGAAACAAACTTGGAAATGGAGACAGGTTAATGGTCAAAATTCATTTTTTCTTTTTTAAGGTATGTTTGAGCTATAAAACACCTGTAACTGAACAAATGTGAGGGATATATGTTTAATGACATACTGTGGGACATTCCAGGCAAAGAAATAACATCTCCATGGAGACAAGCAAGTGGCGGAACCTCCACCTCAGAAGTTACATAGGGCACCTTTAAAGAAAATGTCAAATTAATCGCCTATATAGTTATTCTTTTCATACAAGATGTACAGACTTTCTGTTTTCATTTTACCAGATTTTTTCCCAAGTATTTGAGCAAAATTTTAGCAAAATGTGTCTTGTAAGCAGCTCCACACTGGTCTCTGAAAGCTTTTAGTAATGCTGTCATCACTTATCCCACTGTTACCTCACTCTCCCAAGCTAAACTAATAATGACTTACTTGGGTCAGTATCATAGATTCATAGTGACAATCTTTCACGTAAAAAAAAATGAAAACAATAGTACAATACTAAACAGTATAACTGATACAGATTGTTGTTGATCTCTGTTACACGATCTACAGATAACAATAAACTCTGCAAAAGCAAAATGATTCTTATTCCAAGCAGATTTGTACAATTAGATTACATATTGGATCCTGTATTCATTTAATTAAACGTGTGCATCATTATTCAGTTATTCAAACACACTTGAATATTTCTGAAATGTAAAACAGGGTGATGTGAGCAAAGTTAAATAAGAAAATAGAATAACGATGGTTCCCTCCCCCCAGTAAGAGCTTCACAAGGTAAGCGCGGTCCAGGGAGTGTGGTGAGGGCTGCACAAGGAAAGTGCACGGTCCCCAGACGAGCGAGCGGCAGCCCAGAGGTGGTGGTAATGAGAAAAATGCTAATTTAGCAGTGGAGATATTGCAGTTGGCCTCCCTGATGAGGGATCAAGGGGATCAGGGGAGAGGGCCGGCTCTGACTTTGGAGGGCAGAGGAGAATACGTTTGAGCGAAGAGAGGAAAATAGTGCGGAAGCCCGAGGTGCAGCGGGGAATGTAAAGGATGTGGCCCCGCTGCAACCCAGGAAACCAGATCAGGGCCGTGCCGAGGAGAGCAAAACAAGCCCGTGCGTCACATTACAGCACCAACCTTTAATTCAATTTAGCCCACTGCTTTTTGGCTTTATTTGATCAGCCACTGAGCAAACCGCCAAAGACGTTCTATGGCCGTGTCACTATCAAGAATTAAAAGCTGTTGTAACCATCACCCCGCATTAGGATCAGCGGTGATCCTCAGTCCGCTCTCACACTCTCTGTCCTTTTTCTCCCTTTCACTCTCTCACTTTCTTCTCTTACCCCATCTCTCTGCTCACTCCCTCATACTCTCTCCCCCCTCTGTCCCTTATTTTCTCTTTGTCCTCGGACTACCCCTCTCTCCCGCTCACTCTTCCTTCTTTCCCTCTCTGCCCTTGCTCCCTCTCTCCTTCTCTCCCTTTGGCTCCCCTCTCTCTGCCCTTACACTCTCTTTCTCTTCCCTCTCCTTCTCTCTCTCTCTCTTTTTTCCCTCTCTCCAGGCAAAAGCCCACCAACACCTTGTCATCTCCAGGGAGCATTAGCAGGGATTGTGTGACACTCGCACAAATGTGGGACATTACAGTCTGACACCCTGGTGCAGTGCAGCTGTAGCCTATGCGCACTCAGGCTGTTAGGCCCATTAGCCCCAAGTTTATGACCACTGACAGGACGCATAAACTCTACTGATTGATGCTATTACCAAGACATCCATCAGTATACAGAAGACGGTACGAAAGTCAACATTTTCTCCTTATGTGATTTTGGGGCAAACAGAAAAATAGTACAAAAACTATTTATATAAAATGTCATATTGTAATTGACATTTTTATGTCCCTTTAAGCTAATCTGGAATTGCAAAATAAACTTATTTTATAATTTTACCTCATGCATGGACAAAAACTGCATTGCTTTTAATTTGGAGGTGTTTTTTTTGTTATTACATTTTTGTAAGGCAACCTCATTGCTTAGTCATAACATATCCTCTTACCAGTCTTACCAGCCTACCAGCAAAACAATGCTATTTACTGCTTTTTATAAAGAAATACAATTAATATTATGCAGAATTAAGTTTACCATTTTGGCCCGACCCCCCATATTATTTTCTGTTTCTCATGTGGCCCCATGGAAAAAATAACTGCCCACCCCTGTGTTATAATGTTGTTCTATCATCAAAAACAAGCCAGTTTAGATGTCATTCAGCCAATTGAAAAATTGTACAAAAACATTTTATATATAATGTCATATTGTAATTGACGAGGTTAAAAATGGTAATTGTAAAGTGACTATACCCAATTTGTGAAAAAATGTATGACTGGGTCATAATGAGACTGCTGTGTTCTGTTTTCATCCATTTATAAAGTGTATTACCAGCGTATTACACAATCAGGAAGTGTGCTGGTAGCATGCTAGTTACCAGTGCCATCATAACTAACATACCATCTTAAATAGTTGCGAAAAGCACTTATAACACATCACAATTCATTATTTTCATAAACTAGTTCTTTTTTTTTTCACATTTTTAAGATAAAAATCAGGTACAGCACCTTTAAGCTCTGTAGACAGCTTATGTCCCCACCTTTAGTGCTATCTTAGACTAGGTTTAGTCCTATATTAGTTTCTGATTCCACTATTTAGCCAGTGTACATCCATGTCCTACTCCTATGCCTTGGTTAAGATTAATTTCAGTTCATTATGTAATGTGACAGGCATCTGATTCAACACTGCTACTGTGCATTGGAAAAGTAGTCTATGATAGTCATAATAAGATCTTGGTATCTGTACTATAAGTGACAAAACCAGCTGAGGTTAGCAATGTAGCTCTTGATACTAATTGCCAGTAATTTGCTGCTGAACTTCAGGAGGCATTAGTGAAAATCATTTTGAAATGGCTCTGGCTAACCATGGTCACGGTAGAGTAGTCCGTCAGTCAAATTAATCTTTCTTAGGCTTTGAAAGGTTTTCTACAGCGCTACACGCAGTTCCGCTCAGCTGGGCCCATGTGAGTAACCTGACAGTGGAGGGCTCAGTTATTTGTCTCATAATCATGTGTAATTGAACAATAATCTGCAGATGTGGCAGAGCATATGGGTTTGAATGCCAACTGGGATTCTGTAAGAATGAGTTTTCAAACACTAAAGTAAAGGGCCAGATTTAGACAGAACTGTGCAGCCATTTAAAAAGGGAAGTTTTGCAGTGGCACATGTAAGGGTCAGACTGTATAGAAGACTGTATATAGAAATGGACATTGCCAACCCGCAATACACCACTTTCCAAATAGGAAGTGAGCATGGGGGCGTTTCCAGCTCCATCGACTGTCTCCAATTGACATTGCATTGAAAAATTGCCACCCCTCTCTCTGTAACTGCTGCTGCCTGGAGTCATCATTTGGGCCTTAAAATGTTCATATCTGCACAACCCTGGTGTTTTTATTTTGCTATTTTGTCCATTAATAAATTGCTACTCCTAATATGGAACTCAGCTCAGGAGTTTCATTTGACTTGAGCCAAATGTTACGGGTGACATCAACCACCCTTAGTCCACTTCTTTATACAGTCTATGATCAGGCCTCAAAGCATAGAAAACAACTGAAAGTATAAAACAACCTCTGCAGTTGAATGTGTTGTTAGAAGATAAAGAGGGGGTACATACATTTTGCATAGTGTTCTACTTGTTATAACAGACCTGGGAAATGTACAGCTCCCCAGTCACATATGGCCCTTTGGTTGACTGTGACCAGCCCATTTAAGCTAATTTGGAATTAAAAAATAAACATATTTTATAAGTTTACCTCATTCATGGACTAAAGCTGCATTGCTTTTAATTTAGAGGTGTTTTTTATTACATTTTTGTAAGGCAACCTCACTTTTTCATTACTTAGTCATAACATATCCTCTTACCAGTCTTACCAGATTGTCAAAACAATGCTATTTACTGCTTTTTATAAAGAGTTTTGCATTCCCTCCACAGTATTTTCATTTTCTCATAAAAAAAGAATTGCCCACCCCTGTGTTATAATGTTGATCCATCATCAAAAACAAGAGGTTTTAGATATCATCTATCCATGTTTGAGTAATCTAGCGATCTCTCCCAGAAACTATACAAACCTTCTTTATGGTTAGAGCTGTAAGATTTTGTCCAACGCTCCGCCCACGAGCCTCAGCCGTGCTCCCACACGACAATTCTCCATTAATACACAAACGCATGAAACAAAACTGTACACAACAAACCTGATGTGATGTGCAGCAGTTTCATTAGCGGGATGCACACTCATTGTGCTGTGAGAGTGCTCTGAAGGGGGAGTGACTCAGAAGGCGGTCAAAATTAATGGCTTGTTTTTTCACATGTCATCTCATGTGGCAAAGTGGCACGACATCTGGTGTTTTGTATGATCAATTTCAACTCCTAATTACATTTGAGGAGCAGAGTGATAGTTATATTTTTTGCAGCGCTTGTCTCTGGTCTGTTGTACATGAGTTTTAAGGTTAAGGTATACTTTATGTGTTCCTGTGGGGAAATTCATCTTCTGCATTTGACCCATTCTTCAATACTGGATTGTGCAAGTGATAGTAGGCCTGTCATGATGATACATTTTGAACTACGCTATATTGACACAAAGAAATACTGCGATAAACAATAATATTAAAACTACTTTATGCCAATCCTGAGCTCCAAAAAATAAATATATTACTAATGGTCAATACTTAGCCATAGAAGTTAGTTCTTCAAACTTTTACAGCTCAAATCTAACCAAAATACCACAAATTTCCCACTTGTACAAGAAACTATAAACATGATAAAAACTGAGCTCCAAAATACATTATTCCAGCTTTCATATATTGAAAGATAAGATGATATAGTAATAATCCTAAGTGTTATGATGATGGGAGAGTGCCTGTGGAAACCCACCCACTCAGAGGTCAAACCTGGGGGCTTCTTGCTGTGAATTGACTCAGCCACCATGCCTCTTTGTGCGCGGGTCTAGCTGTGGTTTAGTCCTTTTCCTACTTTAGAAATGCATTTCTATAACAATTTGGCATGTGTGCGTGCCAGTTATCTAATGTGAAAAATGATGCAAAGTGATGCAAACTTACAGTCTCTGCAGTCCAGTGTAGAGCTCCATATCCACATCTCGTAGCGTCTGCAATCCTGTCCAGTTCTCTATGTGTCTGCGAACACAAAGGGAGAGATGCGTAAATGAAAGGAAAAACCCAAAAGCGGAAAAACAACCCCGAAGACAAGTTTGCCAATGTTTCCCTGCTTTCCCGGTCGAAAATAACTGGCTGTGAGTGTAGTCAAAGTTTTGAATCCATATTCATTTAAGGCGCAATTATTGGAAAGGTTCTGACAGAGCCCACTTGGGTGCCCCCTGATAGATTTAATTGCCACGAGGCAGCTCTGTGGGCTTAATCTATCCGAGGCAAGTGCGACGGACAAAGCAAATAAATACTGCACGGCTCGCTGTAATGAGCTTGGATGTGGACTCAGGTGCATAACGCGGGAGACCCAACAAGCTTTAAAAGGGATTTATTGTAATGTGATTTGAACTGGTGGACTGGAGTTGGAGCGAGGGAAAACATGGACAGGTACGAAGGAGAGGAAAGGGGGATGTGCTGTTTGATCAGACACCATAGGATGAGATTGGAATGGACACACGAAACATGAGCGGTGAGAAAGACGTCTGTACCAGACAGACAAGAGAAAAGAATGAGACACAGACAGAGAGAGAGAGAGAGAGAGAGAAAGAGAGAGGGAAAACTGCAAATAGCGGTGTAAAGGCAGAGGCAGAGCGGCAGGTGAGTGAACGAGACGAGTCGTGACTGTTTTCACCAACACCCTCACACATCCAGGAGCCAAATGTGCGAGGAAAGAAAAGAACTAAAATCTTGCTGGTACAATCTTACACAAGACTGCAACCATGCTGGTAACTGTAATGTATGTAATACAAAGGTTCACAAACAGTATAGAAGGCAGCATGGTTTTACACAAAAAAAAAAAATGTGATTACATTTTTGATGTATGAAAGAGCAGGATTTTGTTCAGGGTGTTGTAGAGTACCCCTGGAACATTGAGCAAAGACTGAAATAAGTACTGATAAACTAATAGTAATTTCAAAACATGTTTGTCGAGGTCTAAAACAGGTACGGGTAGGGTATGATTTTTTTTTTTCTTGTTCATTTTGTTCTTTTAAGATAGTATATTTTTCATAATAACTTAACTGCAGCCTTGACGATTTTATAATTGTGCCAATTCAAATTGCGATTTAAATCTGATTACAGTTAATTGTGCAGCCCTACTGTCGTATGGGTAAAGCTAAGTAAAGGATCATACAGGAGTCAACTGAACTTCCGTGTATTAATTCAGAAACATGAAGAGCCACATAAAACGCAAAAGCAGCCAGGTCTGGTATGAAATGTACATAGAGGGTGTGCACAAACGATTTGGACAGACCAAGCAGCTTTGGCGCAGCTGTTTTGATCAGAGCAGGGACTGTGAGCGTGTGATTCTGTGGGCAGGAGCTGAGTCATTAATATGACCAACCACAGACACGTAGGAATCCCTCTAAACGAAAGGCTTTGCTTCTTCAAAGGGTTGCCACGACAACACACAGACAGTTCGCACATCCTCACTCCCTGCCATGCTATTCTATCCATCGCAAAGGATTGGAATGGTAAGGATTTACTAATGATATATGTCTGCAGTCATGCCATGTTCTACATTGCTATGTCATCAGGTATCCATTTTTTTCTGTTTCTAATTTAGTTTTTCTATTTGCAGTAAATTGTCTATAAAGATGTATAGAGATTTTCTTTTATTGTTTAAAAACTGCAGTTCTATCACGCTGTCTTATGGTTATTTCTGTGCGCGCCACTTTGTTCAGACAAAATACTTTTCACCAAGCATTGTTACTCACCGACAAACTCGCCATGAACATTTTTGAGCTATAAAGAAATGACTTACTTCTACTGGCTCTGTAGCATAAACTGTGACAGTAAAAAAGAAAACATGATTATATAAAGTATGTGAAGTTTATGGATAGACTGAAGGTCTGGCATAAATTATATGTATGAATGGCCCCTGTCACCTGCAGCCTCTCTTTGAAACTAGACAGCTAATTTCATGTCTCTTTCAATCTCATGTCTCTTTCAATTTCATGTCTCTTTCAACTGTTTTCATCAAACTCCTTCTTGGTATATCCCGTACACTCTCTGGTCTGGTCTGTTCTATCATAAAGTATGTCTATGTCTGTCCTTAAAACCGTGGGTCCGGACCCACCTGGGGGGCCTCAGAAGCATAGCAGTGGGGCTCCAAAAGTTTTGCATATATTTGTTGAAATTTCTTTTTATTTGTATGAAGCCTACAAGAATGTATTGTTTTAACAAATAAATTTAAGGAGCAAAACTGGACTTTTTTTTTCTTTTTTAATATTATTAGAGGGGCTACAGAACAGCAGACTTTGGGAATGGCTGCCTTAATATATTGCATTCATGTTCTACAATTTGATGAAGTCATATTTTCAGATGGAGGACAAGGGCGATGGGAGATTTTTTTGGTATGAATATCTAAAACTATGATTCACAAATGTGAACCTTATTCTCAAAGGAATAAAGGAGAGAGAATATCATTAGTTGTTCAAGATTTGGTCCCCAAATTTCCCATATCAGTCTTACAGCCTAATGTTTTTCTCATTTGACAACAATCATGTATTTAGGGTTGATAAATGGTGCCACTTTCTGAAGCCATAAAAAATCACTTTAGTTCATCTATGCTTACAGAGAAGATGTTGGATTTTATGCCAGTTTAACACATTTTCAGTCTAACAATTAAAGGCCCATATTACATTATTTTCTGATCTGTGTTATAATGTTGTACCTGGGTTGTATTTTGTTTCATTCACATGTTCAGCACACAAACCCTGCATATTTAGACTTGAGTTCAAACTCCACACACCTTTACTAAAATCATCTGGATAATTTCAGCCCTGGAATTGCCTATCTCCACTGACCTAAAAGTAAAGGTAGCTGTTAACTTGAAAACTACTGCTCCATGACATCACAAGGTGGAACAGGACATTTTGAGCTTGAGGGTCACTCAAAAATACATGAATGAAACAAAACACAACTCCGGGCATGTTTTTGATGAGGTGACAGTATCATAACACGACTTTAAAACACAAATTTCTCCATAACATTGTGACCTCCAGCTAAATTTGCCAATATGCCTTCTATAGAACATTGTGATGTCACGTGAAAACAACCCTTGGGCTGCAGTGTTGCAAACTCAGTGACATGATTTATCACCTTTCTCATTTCCTTCAAGCCACTGTCAACAAATAGAACCTGGGGGAGAGGGAGCAGAGCACGACTACCCCATGGACCTTAATGTCATCTCACAACCTCGGCTTGTCCACACCACTCCAAATATGCATGTGGACCAGGCTCCCCTTGAATAAGCTGAATAATAACAAAGCCATGGCAATAACAAAAGGCTATTCAATCTCCATACTGTCATTCTCACTGTGCAAAGTCCTGCAAATCAAATCCAACCAAAATCAACCTCATTTCTGGAGCAATAAAGACACTCAAATTTTACATTTCCCTTTGTATCCATGCTCTTTTCTACTGATGAATGAAACAGCGTAATAACCCAAAACCACTACAAAGATTTAGTTCCTTACATAAGAATTGAATCTTGTGAGCTTTAAGACATCTTATACTGTTGTAACTTTCTCAAAAACATACCTGAAATCGTGTTTTGTTTCATTCACATATGTTTGAGTAACCATTTATTATTAGTTTTTCTTTCTAATGCTCAGAATGCTTTGCTCCAAATGGTGATGTTATGAAGCTGTAGTTTTCAAATTAACAGCAACCTTTTCCCTTTTGTTCAGTAGAAATTGGCAATTCCAGAGCTGAATTAGTCGAAATGATTCTAGTGAATTTGTAAGGAGTTAAAAAATACTGTGAAACAATTCCTGTATTACCACATGACATTACAAGGTGGAACAGAGTGTTTTCCATTTGAGAGAAGAACCTAAATTTACAGGATTTGCGTGTTAAACATGAGTGAATGAAACAAAACACTACTCCAGGTATGTTTTTGATGAATACAGTGTAGATCAGAAAATAGTGTAAAATCGGCCCTTTAAGGAAGACAAAAACTGGGGATTTCACTGTTCCGACACGATTAACACATCTATCTCGAAAATCTTTTGTTGAGCAATTCATTCTCTTAACACTATCAGAGGCAAACCTGTTCCCTATCTCCGGGAATTATGAGCAAGCGATAAGGATAAAACCGGCTGCTCGTTCACCAGCTAGTATAAAAAAGCCAACTTCCATCTGCTTTCGGGAAAATGGCCTCCGACGAAAGTACAATGTGAAGTGGGTATCGCAGGCTGGTTTCGGTACAGCACGGAGAACAACCCTGGAAGCAAACAGTAACAGATTCTGTGCCTGCTAGAGCCATCTGTCGAGGCGAGGCGGCCCAGGGCGACAAGAGCGGAGCAACAGGGACCAAACCTCATTTTCATGTCCCCACAAGAAGTCACAGCCAACACACTGCAGAAAGCCAGGTTATATTAGAAACCAAGAGCGGCCCTTATCGATGTGTTGTGCTGTTATTAATATTGAAGTTAAGGGGAGATTAACTGGCACGAATCGATGCGCGGATCAAGCAAGGTCGAGGTTCAGAGGAAAGATTTAAAAGGTCAATAAGAATGAGAGTGTAGTGGGATTGGAGACGTTTGGTCACATGTATTGATATTGTAACCCTCAGGTGGTTTGTCGATTCAATATTGGTTGTATTAGTTATTGTTGTGACAAATGTTGGGCTTGTATTGATATGATGGTACATTACATATCGTTGTTACATATGTGTTTGTGTGTGCACTGCATACAAAATTAAGGATGTCCCAGTTGGATACAGCGTATGGTGCCCTCTGTGGGAGACTGAGAAGACTCTAAAGCCCCTAAAAACATTAATGACATATAGTATTTGTTTTATCTTTGTCATGTCTTCACAGAACCATAAGGTTGAGAACCAAACTTTGGATAATTCGGAGGAGCCAGAGCCAAATGCGCTAACGTTAAGCAGCCATGTGCTTCTGTCTCGCCTAAATAATGCAGTAAAAAACTGCCTTTAGAAACAGTGAGATAAAACATCACCT